AGAAGATGTGGTACATATACACAATGGAATATTATTCAGCCATAAGAAGAAAACAAATCTTACCATTTGCAACAACATGGATGGAGCTAAAGGGTATTATGTTCAGTGAAATAAGCCAGGCAGAGAAAGACAAGTACCAAATGATTTCACTTATCTGTGGAGTATAAGAACAAAGAAAAAACTGAAGGAACAAAACAACAGCAGACTCACAGAACCCAAGAATGGACTAACAGTTACCAAAGGGAAAGGGACTGGGGAGGATGGGTGGGAAGGGAGGGAATAGGGAGGTATGGGGGGAAGAAAGGGGGCATTATGATTAGCATGTATAATGTGGGGGGGAGATGGGGAGGGCTGTACAACACAGAGAAGACAAGTAGTGATTCTACAGCATCTTACTATGCTGATGGACAGTGACTGTAATGGGGTATGTGGGGGGGACTTGGTGATGGGGGAGTCTAGTAAACATAGTTCCTCATGTAACTGTAGATTAATGATACCAAAATGAAAAATGAAAAAAATCAATAATAACAATAAAAGTGACTCATTATTATGAAGAATTCATATAAATCAGCACAAATTCAAGCTACAAGAATTCATCCAAGAGAAAAATTCAACCCCAGTAGTATTATTACAATGATCTGCCAGACTCCTGTAAGATAGAGCAGTGTAATCCCCTTTTTACAGATGTGAAAGCTGAGGCCTATTGACTTGGCCATAGTCATAGAGCTACTGTGCTGACTTGGACCCAAGACTTCTCATCCCACATGTCTGAACTAATTGACAAACTCTGACCTTCCTTATACATACACACATACACATACACACGCACACACACACATAAAGCCTTTGTGACCTGCATGAAATAGAAATGGTAACAAGGAAACATTTCAAATGTGGAGCTGTATTATGCAGTTATTTTTGTAATAGTATTATAAAACCACATTTTTATGTGTTTTTGTGTACTGTGTAGTGATGTTTTTCTTATACCCCACTGCTTAAATATTGCATTTTGCAAGCATATGAATAGAAAATGTCCAGCTGCCCCAAAGGACCACATTGACATAATATGAGCTCTCTGTTTACTCACTGAATAGGCACAACTTGTGCCCTGCCAGCTGCTTTGTCCACAGTCTTAACCTTGTTCTGTAAGAACCACCTGTATGAGTGGCTGAGTAATTACTTCCATACTCTGGGTTAGCCTTGGGACCTTCTGTTAAGATTAAAGCAGAGACTGCCTCTGAGTGTGAACAATGTACCGCTCTCTGAATCAGGTTTGGACTATTGAAGCCAGGTGGACGTGGACTGTAAAACACTGCATTCAGAAGGAGTATGAGTTCTCAGGAGCTTCTTAAATGGAGAAGCTGTTTAGGCAGAGCACGTCTAGGGGCTGCGCTCAGGATATCTGAACATTGGGTCTGGGAGTATCAGCCTCTGGAGGGTCAGGACTGTGGAGACCTGCCTTGTTTTACACATTTCATTTCAGAAAACAAACTGCTCTAAGATTACAGTGTGGAGATCAAATTACATTCTTTTTTCTGGGGAAAAAAGTCACTTGTAAAAACATGTATCCAAAGAAATGGACTTATTAAAGTTGGAAATTGATACCAAGGCCACGTCAAGATCCCACAGAAGCTTTGGTAGCAACTTAAACATAGAAGAAGACAAGTCTATGACTCAAGGCCGAGAGAGCCTTTTCTGTGAATGCAGCCCCATGTTTGCGCTGAACCTGAAGGTCAGCTGTTTTCAGGACCCTTAGAAGCCACTGTAGTTTCAGTGCATAAGCAGCATGATCAGACAATATGTCAACTAAAACGCAGAAGTTCATATTATTTAAATAAAGTCTTCACTCTTTAATCAGTGCAATCATCGGAGAGTTTACATACACACTTAACTTCTGGTTAAACAAAAAACAACCGCCTCCTCATCTCCTGGTGAAATCTTACCTTATGAGAACATGCTGTTGCTGGAGCAAAAGGGAAGAGATGGTGCTGAGTTATAAACCTTTCCAGCTACGTTTATTGACGGAACCCCGAGATACCTGGAAGCTGTGTTTCTACTGCCCTCAACAACAGTTGTTCTACCGGAAATCCGACTGTGAGTGGGCTCTGGCACCAAACTCTTACAGCTTGTTTCCAAGTGACCTTATCTCAGTTATTATCAAAAAACCTGTTCCGGGCCTTGAAGGCATCACTTGCTCCCAGAGGACTAGGAGAGGACCTAGTGGAGTGAGGGAGCCGCTTTCCGAAGAGATTAGCTCCCTGCCACAGAGAAGTCCATTTCTAAATTGTTTAAATTTGGGTCGCAGGGGAGTATTTCATGATCCTGGTGTACTTCCTGCTTCTGTTTAGTCTTAAATGCGTCCTAAAACATTTTTCAAAAATCACTCATGATTTTCTAATCTTTCTGAATGCATGGACTGCTGAAAACACAACTCCTCTTTTTTTTAATTCTTGCTTTGAAAACGCAAACAATGTGTGAGCTCTAAGAACAGATCGGAAAAAATGAGTGAAGGCTGTTGGATGCGGCTGAGCGAAGGTGGTTCTATTGATCACGCACTTGAGAAAAAATTTCCATTTTTTTCCAATTGTGTCTCACTTCAATGAGACAAGTTCGGCAGTGTCATGACAGCCACTGCTTCTGTTGGATTAGGGTAAAATAAATGTATTGCACTCCCTCTGCTGGCTCTGAAGCCCAATCGCTCACAACCTAGACCTATATTTAGATGTAGTTTCCCATTTAAAAAAAAAAAAAGATGTGTGGGAAAAGGAAGCTAAAGCTGGGAAAGCTGTTGATTTTATTATTTGTTTAAAATGTCAGGAAAAACAAACATCTGCCCAATGCAAATGCTTAGGATGAGCAACAAAGCCAGCAGTTTTTAGGTTTTTTCAGAGCTGTGCTAAGAAGAAAGGAGGGGTCGCCTCTGTTCTCTCCGTAAGGCATATCTCTAATGATCTTTAGAAATTATTCAGTACCTTTCAAACACTGAAATAATCTTACCTCAGCACTTATTGAACAAGCTAGTAGATTAGTATGTTTAGTATGTTCAAGACAGTCCAAGGAAAGCAAAGGCATGTGTTCAGCTTGAGAGGGACAGGGGAAGAGAGGGTGTCTTTCTCCTGGTGTCAGAAAAGGAAGCTGGAGAGCTTCACATGGATCCTTCAGGCCTCAGGGGAAGCCATGAGAGGCGTGTCACCCACAGCCTGGGGATGGGCGGGGGGCATCCTAGCACCGTGGAATTTTATAGCCAAGGGGACCTAGAAGCAAAGGCACCCCTCATGAGTGAAGAGCGCCTCCCAGATGTCAGGGGGCTCCCAGGGCCGGGGGACCTGCTTCACTCCTGCTAATCAGCACACTGAGGGGCTTCCTGCCAGGCCCATCTGCTCCTGGCTTTTGCTCTCTTTCTCATTCCTGCTTGCTTTCTTCCCCAGGCGTCTGGACGCCAACCACATCAGCTATGTCCCTCCAAGCTGCTTCAACGGCCTGCGCTCCCTGCGGCACCTGTGGCTGGATGACAACGCCCTGACAGAAGTCCCCGTCCAGGCTTTCAGAAGTTTATCAGCTCTTCAGGCCATGACCTTGGCCCTGAACAAAATACACCACATACCAGATGATGCCTTTGGAAACCTCTCCAGCTTGGTAGTTCTGTAAGCTTTATTGATTTCTTTTCTCTTTTAAGAGTATCTAAATTCACTAGAGACCTTGGCCTTAAAGTACTGGCCCTTCAGGCCTTGAATAGGGACAGTTTAAAAAGGAGGAAAAGTCCTGAGCCCCTCCCCAAAATGACTCATAAATATTCTAGTTGTATAAGAGAATTAAACATTTATCAAGCACCTGCTAAGAGCTGAGCACTGCTAGGCATTCAAAGATAGTAAAATATGACCTCTGTCTCAGGGAAGCCCACTGTATATCATACAGGTAATCGCCACACTGTATACAGTTAGTCCTGTGACAGAAGTTCATAAAAATTCCTTATTCCTGATAACAATTTTTAATTCAGGTCAAATTGAAATACGCCCTTCTTATTATTCAATAAATACTCTTGAACCCCTACCAAGGCAAGAAAGCGAAACTGGGCCCTTGAGAGTGAGCTGTTCATTTGTATGTCCTTTTTTGGTGGGTCTAGATTTCACTATTTTAAGTAAATCAAAATTATATTCTCAAGTAACAGCTTGATAAATAAAGAATAATCAGACTTCTCTAAGAATGTAGCAATATGCTCCGCATGTATAATATAATGCTGACCTCGGGAAAGAGCACACAGATGGAGGGAGGTCTGCAAGTTCAGTCTGCATGGGGACTTGAAGGGACTGTTCTGCACTCTCTCTCCCCTTGCCCCGTGCCCACCCACCAGTGTCCTCCACCTGCTCCATCACTGCCTTCAGTCATTCTGGTTTTCTTGATAGGCACCTGTCTCTTGCACTGTATACTCCTTTGAAGTCTGGCCAGCATTTGTCCATTTTTGTAGGTTTCCCTCAATCCCCTTTTCTCATATGTTGCATGTAGAAGATCCTCAACAAATGTCACATAGCTCTCACATGAAACCAACCTATGTTTATATAGAAGAAAAACCGTAGTCTGAAAGGATATGAAGTTTTGGGTGCTATTAGCAAATTTCTGTTCTAAATTTCACATATAAAGATGATGCTATTGACCCACTAGAAGCTGGGATGTGCTTTAATTTTTTCTCCACCAGAGGGAATGAATTTATAGAGATCCAGCTATTCATATTCACCCTGTCCTCCTTAAGCCCATTCTCCAAAAATCCCTTTGGGACTTGGTCCAGTTTTCAATTATGTACACAGCTGTTCTCACTGCCCTGACTTAACTGACCATTGAGCCAAATATGATAATTATATACATTAATACTGTGTCAAGATACTAATCTCCTTGGGCAACCAAAAAAATCTGATCACCATTCTTTGTGGCTGAAATTATTGTTTCCTGTTAACCTGTGGCCCCACCCTGGGAATGTAGCCACGACAAACCATCAGCTTTAATAGAAAAATGTGCTTAGTACACCTGGAACCTTCTCGCCACCTTTCCTATCTCAATGATGGCCAGAATCTGCCTAACACCCTACATCCCAAAAGCCATGCTAACCAACATGGACTTACTTTAATTGGCCATGCTGTTCATATTATACACTCCCCGATATCTCACACCCAGAAGGTAAAACTGTGACTGCCTGTTGAATTCTATGGCATAGAATCATCCGTGCTAAGAGTGAGCGGGGCATATAGCTCTTGGAAAAACAAGTTAAACAAAGATTTTCTTATATATAATTAGTGCATTCTTTAATGTACATTTCTTTAGATTTAAGCAGTCAAAATGTTGTGCCTGAATTTCTCTGTGTAGTGTGCCTTCACGACTGTGTCTGTAATGTCCTCCTGCAGGCATCTCCATAACAATAGAATCCACTCCCTGGGAAAGAAATGCTTTGATGGGCTCCACAGCCTAGAGACTTTGTGAGTTGACCTCTTATTTGTTTCCCTTTTTCAGTGTTTTCATGAACATTCTGGAGGAATCAAAATAGCCTTAAAGTCAAACTTGCTGTTTGGTTTGGTTAATTGCCTGAGCCTTAAACAGATATTTACAGTAGCATTTTTTCTTACACACACACACACACACACACACACACAGAGCTATCAATAAAACTTGAGATTTTATTTTAACTGAACAAGAATGATCAATTAAAATCGCTCTAAGCTAAATGAGATGTTCTCTGCTGAGCAGTGACTGTTTGCTGAGGAATGTGTACTCTCTGGCAAGGATTGATTCTGTCTTGTCCTCAGGCTCACTCTTCATGAGTCTAGCCCTCCCTGCTGAATGAGAGAATGCTGACGAGTCTCATGCTGGGCCCTCCAGTCTGAGATGAACTGACGTCTCATTAGCAAACACCAAGGCTTCATGCTAAAGGAATTCAAAAAACTCAAAATAATCCCAGCTACAGTATATTGGATATATCCATAACCAAATATTGCACTGAGCATTCAGCACACATTGTTTCAATTAATCCTATACCCATCCTACGAGAGCAGCTATGACTGCCCATTTTAGGTTCTAAGAAAGTTATTTCACCAACATGATGTCTAGTCAGTAGCATAACTGGAATTTGCTTCCTTCTGTAGTTGGACTCTGAAATCCACATTTACCAATATGTACCACTTCCAAAGAATAGGTCAAAAGTTCAGTTCTGAGCTGGTACCTATAATAAAAATAGAGCCCAGCCAGCTGACCACCTAGATCCACTTTTGGAGCCACAGTAAGAGCAGTTCTTTGGAGAAGGAGCTGCTCCTCATTGCCCTGTGGAGGGAGAGAGATGTGAGGAGGGTGGGGTGACAGGCAGTGAGGGTCCCAAGTGTACTGGGAGAGGAGGGTGGGTCCAGCTGTGTCCTCCAGTCTTTGTTTTTAATATTCCAGTGCAATATACCACACAGGGCCCCTGAACCTACAATGCCTGCCCTGACCAGGGCTGCAGAAGGAGATGACCGAACATCACCTGCACACACAGCTCAGCGATCTGTACATGGCATATTTAGCTTCTAACCAGGTGTGGGTCCACTGGTTTCCTGAGGGACTGTGTTGGTGGTGGTCTTCTCCAGGCTGACGAGCACTAACATCTCTCCTTCCAGGGTTACTTCAGTTGCTCTGTGTTTCTTCTTAGAAGGGAGGGATCATCCTCCTGAAGCAATGCCAGAAATGACCTTGTCCAGGCAGAACTTCAAGGTCAACCTAATGGCATAGGCACGCCATTCCCATCAGCTGCTTGGGAAAATGGGGACTTCTCCCTTATCTACACGGGGCCAGGCAGGCAGCGGATCTTAGCAATGGAAAGCACCTTCCAGTCCCTTTCAACACAACAGGAACAAAAAACAAACAAAATGGGCTTTGACGGGCATTTCCATAAATAGCCTTTTTTTTCCCCCTATATCTGAGGCAAAGACCCAGGATTGCATATAAATACCATAGTGTACAACCTTTCGAGGCAAATTCCTGTGAGTCTCATTGTCCCTCCTCCCCTCACCTTGCCCAGAGCTACAGAAGATTAGCAAATTGGTTACCCCAACCTCTTCCTTTCCTTCACAAGAAATCCAAGTAATTTATAAGGACTCAATCCTTGTTTAATCAAAACAGAGCATCTGGACAGATTTACAAACAGGAAGAAAATTTATGTCCACAAAAGACATGAGTTTCCTGCCTGCAGTATAGCTTAAGAATGGTTTGTGCCAGATAAGTAGGAATCTTGATACATGTTCAACTTGGTCAAATTATCTCTCTCTTAAAATTAAGTAGCAATTCTTCTCCAAAGAGGAAAATCTAACCACATCTGATTGCCTGACCAAAAGGTTTTTCTGCATCATCTGGGAACTCTGCCATTCCCAGAGACTAGGAGGCAATTGCTTTTTCATATGAACATGTAGATATAAGGTGGAATAAGTCTTTAACGCGTCTGTGACTGATGGAATTGAAAAGCCACTTGTGCCATAAAGAAAGAGCAATGAATGATTTTAGAGTGTCTGGCCACTCCATCTCTGTGCATGAAGGGTAATGTAGACCTTTGCCTCACAGAGCAAGGAAAACATCATACTTCTGATTTGAATCACTTTTTGTGACCCTGAGGAGATTCTAGACCTGATGTCCTTCCTCAGAGTACCCTGTACACCACATAAACCTCTCCAGAAGCAGGCTGCCATCCTGGACCTCAGGCTGGAAGGGCACAGGCACTCGACAGGAGTCTGGGACGAAGCAGCTCAGGCGAGGCTCTGAAATGCGAGGCAAAAAGTCAGAGAGTGAAGGGGGGAATGTCGATTTGATTCAGGAGCCCCAAGGAGCACACACGCAAGCTAAGTCGCCATGTTTGGATGAAGAGCTACATCAGCAAGCTATCAGCCTCTGGCTTGGACGTAGCACTGCTCTATGTCCCCTCCCTTCTTTTCAATGTCCCAGGCCATTGAGACTTGACTCTGAAATTTCTCACAATCAGTATAATGACCATTGTAACACAGATACTTAGGGAATGATGGTGGTCAGCAAGCCAAGAAAATCTCTTTCCACAAAGAGAAGGAATGAGAATTTTCACTGATACTGGTCCATTGAAATAGCATGTTAACTTGATTTATTAAATGTAGTATATATGAGTTGTTAAATGAAAAACTGAAAATACTATTTACTTATTTTCAGAGATTTAAATTATAATAATCTTGATGAATTCCCCACTGCAATCAGGACACTTTCCAACCTTAAAGAACTGTAAGTACTTAGAACAAATGTAACGGGAGAACTCTATCCTTTGTGAACTTATTTTTAAGATACATTTATTGTACATAATATGACCTACTAGAAAATTTTTAAAGTTTGTATAGATAATGATTAAGTACACTTGAAACATATTTTCTATCACTGGCATATAGATTCTATCTCTGGCAAGCCTCAGAAAATCTTCTTTTTTTATAGTGGGTTTCTCTAATTTGTGTGTTAGGAAAAATATACATATTTCTCTAAGCCAGACTTTTTCCTAAGCCATATTCCCCAAAAATCCATATACATGACAGATTTGTGGAGAACTGTAGTGAATTCAGTTATTTGCTGAGTATTTCAAAAAACAAACTTTTCTATGCTGCATAAGTCCAGGACTGGGTGAATAAAATACATGTACCTGTACAGTGGTAGACCCTTTCAACGTATATTATTTCAGTCTTTAAATGTTTCCTCATTCCTATTTAATAAAAAATACCCTCGATTTTACTAAAGTAAAGCTAATTTTTGGCTATTATGTTACATATATTGTCTTCTATGTACTATAATTTAGCTTTTCTTTGTACCTAGAAGTATGAATAGCCTATAAGGAATGTTCTAACACTTGGAAAGGAAATAAAACAGAACCTATTCTCTGGCAGAGAGAAATAAGACACACAGCCAAGAGAGGCGGACAGCAGGGCTTGTATGTAAGGAAAAGCCTTTAGGAGGTTCTGTCTCAGGAAACCCCACGCATGGCTCAGCTGGGAAGTCATCATTGTCTGTGGTCACCTCATCCAGCCTCAGGCCCATATAGAACCCAAAGACCGTTGACTTTGCCCCTCTACCAATCAGGCAGCATTAGCACTGAACAGAGGAGAATCCGTTTGTTACAACAGACCCACTGAGCACCTTCCTTCAGTTCAGAAAGTTTCGTCCTCATAAGGAGATTACTTAAATTTCTGCTTCACTGTAGCTTAATTTGATTTTTCTCTTCTTTCAGCTTCAAATGGGGTCAGGAGGAGCAACTGTAATCTCCTCTGCAAAGATAGTTTCCCTCTAACTCAAGGTGTTACACAGTGTGCTCTGTTGGATATTAACATATGGATTTTCTTTTCATAACACTAGATCATAAGTTTCCATAAAGAGAAAATTAGTATTTTCTGATTCTTTATTCCTCTTTCAAGATGACACCTCCAGGTTATTTTTCTCCTAAAGAGTAAGTGAGGGCATGTAAGTTTCAAAGGGCATAGAGGAATTTTAACCTTATCCTCTAGTCACTAAAAGTGCTGATTATTGTAATAGGGCTAGGGAGGGACTATTAAGTAATTTTACCCTGCACTTTATTTTCTATAAATTGTTTTTCCTATCTTTCTAGAGGATTTCATAACAATAAAATCAAGTCAATACCTGAGAAAGCATTTGTAGGCAACCCTTCTCTTATTACAATGTAAGTGGCCACAGTTCTTTTTTATTTTTCTATCTTGAAATATAATATGTGTTGCACTTTAAATACAATACAACGAGTATTCTATATTGGCCCGTTTTGTCTCTCAAGGTAAGATCTATACGGAGAACTGTGTATAAAGATGTTTTGCCAGGTTTTTACCTGCATGCTGAAATAACATAAGAGTCTTTTTCTCTAGAACCTACAGCGTACATTGATTACCCTTCATGTCTTCAGTTTGCCGTCTCACTTCAAAATAGTTCCGTGAAATCCTTTTGTTTACCTCTAGTTTCTAAGCAACAAAACTGATTTTTAGGGCATCAATGTCAAGGTCACCTGGTCATTCAGAACTTGGATCCAAGTATCCTAGAAATATAGATTATTATATACAAATAGGAATCCTTTACAGCTATAACCTCCAGCCTAAATTGGTGGGGTGGGAGGGATGGCAGGAATACTGTTTTACACTAAGTCTCAGTATCCATTTATTAGCATTGAGTCACATTTATACAATTACAAGCTAGGTTGTAATTCTAGAAAGGTGCATATGTCTTAGGAAGGTGTAGATGAAGACTGATGTAACAGAGTTACAAGCACAACATATAACTGAATCTGCATTTCACATTTAGCACAGACTGAAGATTGAGCATAGGTAAATATACAGTAAAACGAAAATATGTATTAGGCTGGCTCTAGTTAAGACACCTGGCAGATCCAGGGCATAGTGCTGGCGTGAGGCCGTGAGTGAGGGGTCTTGAATACGGAGGAGGAAAGTAAGAACAACTGGAACATGACCCTAGGGACACTTCATAGCCGATATTCCTCCTGTACCCACCGGTTGAGAGGCTTTCTGGAGCCATGCAGCATTTGTCACAAATGAGCTGGACTACCAATTAACCCTGACAACACGGGTAGGGGGGGGAAATGCCACTCATCATTTCTGAAGTGTTCTGACAGTTTGTTGGCAAACTAAGGGATTTAAAGTTAGTTGCCAATAAACATAAGTCCTCATTAGAGGGTATTTACATATTAAGAGGTTGGCAAATTCATTGCCTTTGTGTCTCCATCCTTGCCCCGCAGGCCTGTTTTTTTTTTCTATCGCTCTTTTGATATGCAAATACTGCTTGGGGAGGCCTAGGCCCCCAAAGTGCAGCAGCTTCCAGCCAGAGACTCTCCTCTCCTTGCTTTGGCCTCTGTCTCCATCTCTTCTCCCTGCCACCCCACCCCACGCCCCCCGATTTCCAGTTTCTGCGAGTGCTTCCCATGTCACGTAGCCCTCATCCTGCCCCTGTGGTCCCTATCCTGTCCCTAACTTCTTTCCGTGCCCACCGCCACCAGCCGCTCCGCTCGCCATTACCTCCAGGGTGTTCCCGTTCCAGGGTCATCTGTCAGACTCCACCACTAGCAGAGTCTTCACTCTTTTAACACAACATGTCTTTTCACTATGTTGCTGTGAAACAGACACTCAGGATTGTCTATTTATATATATATATATATATATTTTTGTCTATTTATATTAAATGCAAACTCCTTTCCCTGACCTTTACAGCCTCCCATACCACCCCAAGCCAACCCTTCCAACCAGTTCCCCAAAGCTCTCCTAAATTACCCTACACCCTAACCCAGACCCACTGTATTCACAGAACAAAACTCTTTACTTGCTTTGCTCTGCTGATTCTACCCCCTACAAAGCTCATTGAAATGCTGTCTTCCAGGGCCCATTTCAAATAACATTACATGAAGTTTTTCTTGGTCTCATAACAGAATTCCCTCCTGAGAACCCCATAGCTCCTGACTTGTATTTGTGGAGCTTCTGCCTTATGTGCTCTCTTGCCAATGGGTTTCAGCCCCAGGCAAGTTCACTATGGATTTAATGAGACCAAAAAATGACAGTGGATTGTTCTTGGGGTGAAAGGGTTTATACCCAACTTTATTTCCACCGTGGCAGGTCAAGCACTAGAATCCCATCCACTGAGAACTGAGTCTGCATGCAGCAAGCTGGTCTCTGCCTCTGGGCCTCTCTGCCCCTGCATCCATCTCAGTCTCTGTTCTTGGCACTGCCACCACTCCAGTCTCTGCTCTCCTGCAGCCTTTCAGCCTTGCCACCATGTTGCCTAGAGCACTGAGTGCTCTTTATATAGAGTCAATAACAACTTATTGCCCACACGTGTGTATTGAGCAAGCCGACCAGGGCCAGATGAGAATCCTGGCCATAGGAACCTTCACTTTATCCACATGTACACAAGCATGCGTATTCATATCTGCCCAGTGTGCATATATACATACCTGTATATAAACACGATTACATACATACATGCATATAGTATGATAAGGAACACTGTGATTATATATTATATATTATATATATATTATTATATATTATATATTATATGCATATAGTGTGATAGAGACAATGTGTTATTATGAGGAAAACTCCATTTTTAAAAATCATAAGACGAATATTTCAGCTCTAGGAAAAAGAAGAGGTCAAAGGGTAGGATCACAGAAGGACACTTAGGTTTGTTGAGTGACAACTATATGCCAGGCATTATGCCAGATATTACACAAATATTTGCTCTTTTAATTCAAACATAAACCTAACAGCAAAGGTTTAGAGGTAATTTTCAAAGTAGGAAGTTGAAGCTCTGAGAAGTAATGAACTTGCCAAAGTGTCTGAGCCTCAGTTTCTTCCTCCGAAAATGAGAAAAGTAGGATCTAACTACTTATACAATGGACCTTATAAAGCTGTCAGGTAGATCAGTTGAACTATATATGTAAAAGTGCTCTATCAGCAGAAAGTGATATGCTCTTATGTATTTGTTCCATCCCGACTGATTCCAAGTTTCTTTAGGGTAGGAACATTTTCTCAATCTTCAAACCTCCAGCATCTAGCACAATGCCAAGAAAATAGCAGATACCCAATGGCAGCATCCTTAATGAACAGTCTCTAAGGCCCTGCAGTCCTTACCTTCATACTTTGGGCATAGTAGACACCAATAAATACCTGTTGAATTTCATTGAACTAGAAGGCTGTCTCGGCTAGGATCTATTTGTGGACCTCTATTGACCCAGCAGTTCAAATACCATTACATTGAAAACATCTGTGAAACAAAATGCTTTTAAAGTTTTAATGATGTCTCACTTCTTAGAGCAATTTTTTTTTTAAACTAATGTTACAAGAAACCCAGAATGGCAAATATCCTCTCAGATAACTGAAACGGTCCTTTGTGTATAAGATTTGACCAGAGGATCTAACCTTCTTATAAAAACTTCATCTTTCTGTAACTAATATATGATTGTCAGCACCTTGAATTACCCCTTTGCCATACTCAATGGCTATTCCACAGATGTTAGAGGCGGAGGAAGATTTTTAAGTATACCTATAGTCAGTTCACTTGCTTTCTCCTTACTAATTTATATCTGCCTTGCTGTCAGATATTTTCAATTTTATATAGTACAGATTGCTTTCCAAAAGCCTCATAATGTGAGTTAAAACATTTTCAACATTTGCCTAAAACCAAGTAATCAGGAATGTTATGTAATACAGTACAATCAAAATTACATAAATACACTTAGTATATTTGTTGACATTTTGAACAGGTATTCATAAGCCCTGGTGTTTGGATTTTTTCAGACATTTCTATGACAACCCCATTCAGCTTGTTGGAAGATCCGCTTTTCAACATTTACCTGAACTAAGAACACTGTAAGTTTTTCTTTTACAGATCCTCCTTGCAAGGTTATCGTAAACACCAAATGAATAATATAAGTTGAAGTGCTTTGAAAAATGCTAATAAAAATTGCCCCTTTCTAGAATCTTCTCCCAATAATACTCCTGTACTCCTTCTTTCAGGACTTTGAATGGTGCCTCACAAATCACTGAATTTCCTGATTTAACTGGAACTGCGAGCCTGGAGAGTCTGTAAGTTCTTCAAAAAGGTCTTGACTTTGCCCAGAACATGCACTTCCCTTAAAGCCTGACCAGTCTTTAAACTCAGTGAATCAAAATATGTCACTGTGTGATGCCTGAATAAAGGAATTATGTCTGTTTTGTGTTTCAACAGGACTTTAACTAGAGCACAGATCTCATCTCTTCCTCAAACCGTCTGCGATCAGTTACCTAATCTCCAAGTGCTGTGCGTATCAGTAAGGCAATAATGTTGTATAAACAGGCAACTTCCATTTAAAGGTGAAATGAAGCCATTATTGCAACAATCCTTGAAAAAAGGAGAAAGTTCTTTCCTTGCAGGTCTCCGGGAGGTCAGGCCTTCTTTGCCCGCTTTGGGCCAGGAAAGTGGCTTTCTGATGACCTCAGTAATGATGGCAGGGTGCCCTTTGTTCCCAAGTCCCAAAAGGTCTCCCATCAGAGTTTCAACTGGCACACACTTCCTTTCAGAAAGTGGATATCAACAAGCCAAGATAACTTCATTTCCCCCTCTAAAGGTTTTGCAAAACAGAAAAAAATATATGGATGCCAAAATAAAAAACGAATTTATCAGATGCACACAAACCTTGCTAAAGGAGACCAAACATTCTCCCGATATAACTGTGGGTGCCATGTTCTAATGTTCCATCTAGCAGTTAAGCGGCTTGTGTGTGTTATTTCTGTTGACATGAAGCTTTTCCCTCTGCCTTTTCCCTGTCTCAGGAAAAGTAGTTAACAGGAATTTGAAGAGCGTTGTTTAGCCCTTCCATTTTCAGCCATCTTCTTCCACTCAACCCTATTTTCATCCTTTGAAGAATTGCTGGGAATTAACGAAATGACCCTTACTCTCTTGTCACAGCTCTGTTCTCACCCAGGAGACATCTGTGACAGTTGAATACCCGTAATTGCACTATAGGCTTTACCAAGTGGCAGCTCTATGAATGTTAAGTGAGAAGGGACTCCTACCATGGCGGTTCCACTTTCCCCTGTCCCCAGCCAGTCACTTCACTTCAGAATTCAGTTGCTCAGTGATTAGGGGTTGCAGTAACACACGTGATAGCCTTGGACACAGTCATTCATGTATAAAGGAAGGGTATATAGGGCAAATCTCCTCTCCTTCGCCCCATGTCCCCCTCATCAGTGAGGTACAGATACAGATAAGAAAACTGAGAATTAGGCAAGTTAGGTACATTTGTCAAAGTCACACTGAAGAAAAGTAGCACAGTCCAAATTCAAACAGGCAGTCTGAGTAACTGGAAAAAAGTGTATGTGTACCAGGTAGTGGAAATCTTGGGGACCATGTTAGAATTCTGCCCACCACACCCAGAACAGGTATAATTATCCTCACTTCTTGAGGAAACTGGCTCAGAAACATGAATATGATTTCACATACTGTAATAACTACGCAGGGGGCCAATGTTTAAGTCACATTTGTCTCCACGAAGGTCACACAGTGAATGGTACACCACCCAGGGCTAGAACTGCGTGTCTTGTCAATGGGTTTCTTCCCCCGGCAAGTTCACTATGGATTCAGTGAGACTGAGGAATGACAATGGAACGTTCTTAAGGTAAAAGAGTTTATTACCCAGCTTGAACTCCCAGCAACAGGTCAAGCACTAGAATTCTGTCTTCATTCAACAGCCTGCAGGCCCATAATCCTCCTTCATCTCTGCCTCCACCAAAGCACTGGGCAGAGCTCTTTATATAGTGATTCAGTCAGTCATAGTTTATTGCCTCTGGGTGTGGAACCAGTAGCCTAGCAGCGGGCCAGTTACATCATCAAGTAGTTCAGGTTCAGGTGAGGATTCTGGCCATAGGAACTTCCATTTTCCCCACACTGCATAAATAGAGAATGACCAGCAAATTGGTTAAAATAAAAGGCTCTGAGTCTTCTTTTCTGACTCAAATCCAGTTTCCCTCTGTACCCACAGTTTGTACTGCACAGTTTCTTGAGCAAGTCATTTATCCCTTCTGGGGCTCTATTTCCCAATCTATAAAATAGACATGTAATTTTCCTTCAGAAGATTAAATGAGTTACTACATGTCCAACATTCATACCAGCACCTGGAACACTGTAAGCAGTCAGGCACTGTTGGCTATTATCATCTTCTTTCTCACTTCCTTAACACCATTATTCTTTCCTTAAGCTCTCCTTTCTTCCCATTGCAACTTAAAAGCCTGGGAGAATACAGATGCATTAGCAGCAGTATTTTGCCACTTTCAGAGCACTTCAACCTGTAATATTGATTTGTTCTTCACAAAAGCCCTGTAAGATCAGCAAAGCAGGTTCTTCTCATTGAAGGAGAGGAACTGGCAGGCTGCCTGGCCAATTGTTCAGAGCAAAGGCTCTGTGCTCCGGGAAAGACATCAATACTTTGGCCAGTGGAGGGACCAGCTCGAATTCATTGAGGTTGAGAATAGAACTCAGGGTCCTGACTTCTGCTCCAGTCTACTTTGTGTTATGCTTCCAGAACAGAGAGCTCCCCTACTTTGGCCAAATAATTCACTGAGTACCTGTTCCAGGAGGAAATTTCACTGTATATGAGTGATTTTGCCCCCATGTTGCTCACCTCCACTTGAGTTACTTGGTTGTGTGTGGCTTTCTCTACTTAATAGTTGGTGATCTTAGGCAAATTATTCCACATTGGTTGGGAATGGATAATCAGTGTCTCCCTCATAAGGTGACCACAAGAATTAAATAAAATAATTAAGGGAAAGTTGTAAACATGATGTCTTTATATAAGAACTGCTTGATCAATGTCAGCCATGAAAATCATTAGGTAGAAGGTAAGAGAAGATGACACTGAGTCTTTATGTAGAAGATTTGATATACACTCTACTAAGAGGTACATGGGAAGGATTTGTCCCATTGAAGTCTGTGGACATGAATGAACCAAAGTATTATCAGCTTTGATGATACATGTGTCCATTTATTACATTCACTACTTTTCAGATTTATGCACCATATTGTTAACCAAGCATATTTGTGCATAGGTGTCAGGTATGGTTTTGTTTTTTTGTTATTTGTTTGGTCTGGTTTGGTCTTTCAAACCTCTAGTAAAACTACAAAGTCGTGTTTGCAAATAGCTTCATCTGAAATACATCTGTGTAGTAAATGAACTGTATTTCTATATAAATTCCATTTAGTTAATAAATATAGGATAAAGTGATCAATTATAAGATTAGAATAATTTTAAAGCCTCTTAGAAGCAGTGTGGATCTTTGAGTTGTGTGGTAGTGGCCTGGTATTAAGAATTAGAATCAGGCATGAAAATGTGTTAGTCAATTAGCTGATAAGTTTCAAAACATGAGACAAGATTTTTCTAAATATCTATGGTACTTTATCTACCAGCTTTTGTTTTTTTTTAAACTTTCTGCAAATTACCATGGCTTGTTTCAGATTAGTTATATTATACTATAAATATGTCCAGATGTTTTTGTTTTTCTGTAATTTGTTGAGTTTGGGCTGAGGGCTTTCTTAGATTTTTTCCTCTCTTATAGTGATTGATTTCAAAGTTAGTGCTATGTTTTGAATTGTTGGTTTTTTTTTTTTCTTTCAGTTGATTAGAAAAGAACCAACAGTAATTCCCTTAGCTGTAGAGATACAGCAGCTCTTAGAAACAGAGGCACAATTATTTTATTTAATTTGTACTCATTTCAGTAAGATAATAGCTAGGACATTGTAGATCATCACTAACAAAATATAGATAAATTCATTACGAAAATTTTTTAAATCAGTTAAAGAAGTATAACTGTTATGTTTCAGTAAACATTTGAATCTATTGCTTAATCCAGTAATGCCTATGACTACCTGGTCCGTGTCAGAGCTAGGGAAGCGAGAGTCTGCCTTCGGGAGATGTATCATCTTGGAGGGGATGGGAGAGCAAAACATGTTTGCTTACTATTAATAATGTAACAGATTTTCCCTTCTGTACCTTCTGGTCCTCAGAGATCTGTCTTACAACCTGCTAGAAGATTTACCCAGTTTTTCAGTCTGTCAAAAGCTTCAGAAAATGTAAGTCTGTAAGAGTCTCTGAATAAATTAGCAAAAAACAAGAGTCCAAACTCACATTTCCAGGGGTCATGGGTTTGCTTAGCCGGGGGTCACTGGAGAGAGACATTTGAAGCTTTTCTTTCTTACACACGCAAGGTGTGACGGTATAGGATGGCTATAAAATCAGGAAACGTATGTAATATTATTTTACCAGGCATTGTACTATGAGTACAGCTGTTTATTATGTGTTTGCTTTTTCTTTTTTCTGAATGGGATATAATCACAAACCGGGTTTATTTGAGCTTTGGAATTTTTCTAAGCTTACATATCCAGTGAGTGGTGTTATTTCTAAATATGGGGAAAACATGAATTTGTTGGGATGTTTGTTTCACAATAGCCATCTTCAGAGGAGGTACGACATTTGCCATATCTGAAATGCTATTGATGCCACTTATGCATGAAATATCTTATAATTCCTCTCTTAAAACTGCCTCTTCCACCAAACATCAGCCTTACTGCTTTAGAGTCATACTGTGATTTTGATCAAAATAATATTAACCATCTATTCTCCCCCACTTAATTTTTCTCTGAATGCCTTTGGGCAATTAAAAGGAGGGGGGGGGAAATCCATCTTTAAAGGTAAGAATTTGATGCTCCTGAAAACCCTCCAGGGAGACAAGAAAGGCTCAGAAGGTAGAGTCAGGAGAGGCAATCCTCAGCGTGTTTGGGGGAAGATGGCATTTCTTATATGGTTAATATTCACCCAAAGGAACTAACTGCTTTGAAAGAAAGGCAATACTTATTCAAGTATATAAATTGCAATGTTCTTCAAACAAAACAAAATTTTTAAAAATAGTTCCTTTGATTGAGGGCAGGTATTGACTCTGTAAAAGTTCTCTGAAAATTAATCTCTGAAACCAGTGACTTTGAAATCAATCTTTGGAACTCTGTCATTTCAGAGACCTCCATCATAATGCAGTCTATGAAATTAAAGTTGACACTTTCCAGCATTTGCTTAGCCTCCGATCTCTGTGAGTACCACCTCCCTTGGCCTTCCCTCACACAGAGCACTTTCTTTCTCTTTGGGGCCTTCCCCTAATATTTTCTTTTCACTGTACACTGGTATTGTTGGACCTTTGTGCTTATATTTGCTATGAAAAGGCAAATATTTTGCTCATGATCATTTCCAGGAACCAATTCAAAAGCAGTAAATTTGCAGTCTGCTCTCTGCCAGTCAGCAGACATGAAACTTCCATAAAGAAGGAGGCCAAGCTGTTGAATAAGCTATAAAGTGTGTTTCTGTGCACAGTGTGGAATTGGCAGAGACTGTTTTCCCAACGAAAATGGGATGACCACCCAGTTCTTCCTGCATGCATTTCCTGGTTAATTGATTTTTCAACCTGTGTCTCAAAGTGCTTCAGAATCACCTGAGGCAACCATAAAAAATGCAGACTCCAGGTCTTCACCAGTTAGAGTCTCTGGAGTGGGGCCTGACAATCTGAATTCTAATGAGTACAGGAAGGGTTGAGCACAGCTGCCCTGGAAAATGTTTTCTGTTGCTCAGATGACTAAGAGTTGTAAATATTTAATTCCATTTTATGATTGAAAATGCCATATATTGACCAAAAATGAAAGAAACAAAAACAAAACTTGGTAACAGATTTTTTGTGACAAGCAAAGCAGTTAAAACTTTTCCATCTTAAAACTAAATTTTAAGGTAATTTTGATGAATGATGACGATATGTAATGTTTAAACTCTGGTATACTTTATTAAGAACTTCCCCTTTCCTGAAGTGTTTCTTAATACTTAAGCGACCATACCCTTGTAAAAATAATACCATTCTTCAAAACAATTTAAATCTACCTTTAAGAATCATCTTCTCACAAAAATTTACCTTGAAAACTGTCTTGTTCTGAATTTATGTTACCCTTTCTTTACTTTGGTTTAAATCAGCTTGTGAAGGTCTTTTACTTTTTTGAGTAAATGTGAAACAAAAATACATTACCTACATTCATTACCTGCCTTATTCACCAGATTGGAGTTCTGGCTGTTTCTAAAAGTCAGTTCTGTTTGAAAAGGCTGACATAATTGATAATACTGTATTATATCACTGAAATTTGCCGTAAGTTGTACTTAAATGTTTTTACCAAATAAATAAAGGGGCTGACCTCTAAAGATATCAAAAGAATGGGACACAGACGCTGAAGGTGACATGTCTGAGTCCCCTGAATTCCTTCTGCCTTTTAGACCTCACATCACTCACACACCAAACTCTGCCAACCCCAGTTCATCAGCTTTTCCACCAGGCGCACTGGATCACCATCATCATCCCCCGACCAGTCTTCTCACCATCAGTCTTTACCCTTTCATCTCATTCTCCATAGAGAACTTTTCTTAAGTAGAAATCTAAGCATGTTACCTCCCTGTTTCAAAAATCTTATTTCCCTGTTATCTTCAAGCTCAAGTTCAATACTAAACTTCCCAGCACAGCCCTTCAGAATCTGGCACCAACTGCCTGGCCCAGCTTTACCTCTCCCCTATGAGTTCCTGGCCCCCTGGCCCACAGGCAGCTGTTTCTTCTCTTCCTACTGCCCAATGGACTCCTGCCTGCCCTTTCTTGGCTTGCCCCCACCCATAAGTCAAGATCTCCCCCTTTGAGCACACCCCACTCTGAGGCACATTCTTGGCTACAGGGCCCAACACTCAGACTGCCCTGCCTGAAAATGACAAGAACTCTCTCGTCTTGGTGGCCTCTCATTATTTCCTTAAGAATTCCAAACATATATTGAGCAAAAGGTCAAGGAAGCTGAAGTCAGCTTGGTTTGAATCCTAGCTCCTGGGACAACTCTGTGACTTTGAGAAACTCACATAATACTCTGTGTTTCATTCCTCACCAGTAAAATGGGGCTAATGACATTAACTGACTCTTAGAGTTGTTTTGGGGGTTACAATACATGTAAAAAAACTTACAACCATACCTGGCACATAGTAAACATGCAACAGCGTAGTGAACAAACAAAACAAAATGCATCCAAGTAAATTCAAAGATCTAATTGGCTTTATTAAGCAATTTGTGCATCGGGCAGAATCCCCTCTAGCAGGTAGAGAGATGCTCTGAGGAATTATCCAAAATGAAAGGTCTTTACAAACGGGAGGTTGGGGTTGGGGGCGTTACTAGCAGAAAGGAAAGAAGGGATTGTTTCAGGCAAGGCCAGTTTCTCCTAGAGGGAAGAGCAGGGGGTGATGACCTCTTCTTTTAGGGAAGATAAGAGAGGCTCATGTGACAGATGAGCTTATCAATGATGCTGACCAGGAAATCCCTGACTGACTGCTTTTCTGGGGGAGGTTGCAACTGTAATGAAGTTTAGGTAGTAAGCCCCTGTTTGGTGACTTGGCCTAGCAGAAGTGACATCATGTGTCTTTTCAACAGTGTCGTAGTGGTGGTGGTGGTGATTATTATTATTAATTCTTATTATCATTATTAGGACAAGTATATATCCTTTTTAGGGTATATCAGTGAAGGTCCTGACAGAATTCACCCAAGATGGTTCAAATGAAGAGACATTTACCTAGGTGTTGGCAGGAAGCAAGCAAGGGGTGGGTGTGCGGAAAACCAGCAACATGGCCAAGACTGGGGCTGAGGAGACACAGGGAGGAAATGGTGTTTCTAAAATCAAGGAAGAGCTGAGGCATGGAGAGGGGGTGCGTGGCTGAGAAAGTGTGCAGCTGCCACCAGGGACAAGATTCCAACCTAGAGAAGGAGCAGACTACAGGCGCCCAGCTCCATCCTCCTTGGGGACTGCATGGAAAACCCAGCTGGGGAGTCTGTGGGACACCAGCATGGAGCCCTGGGGCTGCGCCTGCAGGGTCAGCCCCAAACACAGAGCAGGCAGGGAGTGAAAATGGATCCTCACAGGTCAAACAGGCTCAGGAATGGGAGTGGAATGACAGTCCTTTGAACAAACACATTCTCTCCTTTTTACCTAAAACCCAATCAAATCACCATAAAGCCCCATGGCAAGACTTGGCCTGCATTCCTGATACTCCACTTTGTGAAGCTTGCTGGGGCACCCAGATTCTACTTGAAGCTGCCAGAAACTTTGACAAATGATATGACTTGCCTCCCTCACTGGATACATACTTTATGAGCAGCTTGCTGGAATTATCCGACCGGCATTTCTAGCTTTCCCACTCCCTCCATGCCTTTTCTTTCTCTTCTTAGCTAGAATTCTCTTCTGTGAAAGAGGCAAAATAAAAGGCTTCCAGTTTCCTCCAGGTTAGGGAGCCTTTCAAATGAGAATATAAATATTATGCAAATACCATTTATCCAAAGTAACTGGGTGGAAGGGCAATGCAAAAATAAATCACTTACCTGTGCTAGAGAAAAATTGACTCTGATCACTTTCAATTTTCTCAAATGACTACACTTTAGTTCCCTTATTCATTAGGCATTTAAAAAACTTTTTTTAAGTTCATTTCTCCTTTTTCAAAATGAAGTTATTTTTCCTGCTACATTACCTACATTTCATTACATGTGTATGTTGAGTGAATTTTATTTCTCCATAAATTGTAGATTTTCTTTGTTATCAAAGGATTTTATTTCCAACATAAATTAGCTTCTTTTTTATCCATTTCCCAGTTAAGAACTTAAATGTCCATCTCCCGGACTGGGAATTTTTTTTTTTTAAGTTTTCTGTGTTTCTTTTAAGGCCTTACATACCTGGCAATGTTCAGAAAGTCTTGCTGAGTTTCATTACATATCCAGGGACATTTTAGCACTTAAAAATATACTTGCTTGTCAGAGGAAGAGCCTCAGAAGTTCCTGTCTCTTCCTACTCCTCTACCTCCATTCATCTCAGAAATGCCCTAATAAAATTTTACAACCATGTAAAACTCAACTTTTTAGCAAGAAGAGAGTAAAAACTACAGTAAACCACCAGAATGATTTTTTCTTGACTGATTTAAACAAGACTGCATTCCAGTTCACTCTGTTGTCATCTTATATTACTACTATCTTTATGTGGAGGATGATTTGATAAGGTAAGTACTCCTGTCCTGAATGGAAATTAAATTTTGGTAGAAGAATGAATATATATGGTAAAAACTTCACACAGTCTTCTTTTTATATGTAATTCTCTCAGTTGACTTTTTTTTTTTTTTTTAAATAGGAATCTAGCTTGGAACAAACTTGCCATTATTCACCCCAGTGCATTTTCTACTTTGCCATCTCTAAGAAAGCTGTGAGTATTTCATTACCTGTTTTTAGCATGTCTTGTAGTAATTGGGGGCCATCTAATTAATCAAAATGTGGGTTTTGCTGAAGAAGCCTGCACAGATTACCCAGGCCCCAGTGTTCCCCACTGCAGAGAGGTCACCCACACCCCCGCCGCTCCAACGCCATGTGGGCCTTTACGTGGGTAGCTGAAGATCTGGGTAACAGCTGGTTCTGATTATTGAGGTGAAATTTTCCATTTTTGCTGAGCACTCAGGTGGAATGGAATAAGATGTCAATTCAGTTCTAAAAGGCTGTCATTTTGTAGTTTGCCATCTTGAGTAACAGGAAACCTGCCTGTCCCTTTTTTTCCTCCTCTTTCTGCCCCTTGCTCCTTCTTCTCCCTTTCTCCCCTGTCTAATAGACAGAATTGGTCAGAGAGAAGTTGGGGAATAAACCCCCAATGTTTTCCCCCTACACCCAACTCCATCGTCCTAACTCCATCCAGTCAGTTAGGGTTTTTCTGATTAGATGTAGCACCTTCCATTTGATTTTAGATGTCTCCACCCAGCAAATTTAGAAACTTTTGAATTTGACTATAGAAACTACAATTTGGATGAGATGAAAACATTCTCCCCCTGCAATTCTGATTGTAAACAGAGAAGTTATCAGAAGTGAAAACCAAAATGGTTACTTTTACCAGTAAGAGTAAGGACCCGTCTTAGAAGTTTTTATGGAGCCGTTTAATAATCTTCAGGCTGCTTTTGTAACCTAGACTTTTTACGCTAACATGGACTCAAAGCCAATGTTGTTTGATGTTTTGCAGGGACCTCTCGTCCAACTGCCTGTCGTCTTTTCCTGTAACTGGGTTACATGGTTTAACTCACTTAAAATTAACAGGAAATTATGCTTTACAGAGCTTGATATCATCTGAAAACTTCCCAGAACTCAAGTGAGTTTGTCATTAAAACTAATAAGATATGTTCGTGGTCATATGAAATAATAGACGTGTTATAGCAGTTTTCAAATTTTATGAGGTCATGGGACTCTCTTGAATTGCATTTCATGCTCTCAAGTCCCCCACCCCTAGGGCATTGTTAGGACAATCCTAAAGGGGGAGAGGGTGTCTTCCTGACCACATTTCCCTTCTTTCTCAGAGATGCCTCCCAGAATCATAGAGTTCATGGGAAGAGTTCGAAAACCATTGATCCATGGGGTAAAAACTGGGACATGTAGTCAAACAACATTATGTTACTGTACTACTTTTGACAATTTTTAAATCATCTAGCTTGTGAAATGAACTAAATTAATGTTTCTTTGAGGAAGTAATGCTCTTTAAAACCTGTTATGTTTATTATAAATAAAGTAGTCCCTTGAAAGAGTGTATATGTATATATATATATATTTAACTACCACTTTTAAAACCATAACCCCAGAAGATAGTTCAGAAAGTAGAAGAGAAAAAAAAATCTAAAATCATCCCCTAAACAACTTTTATGTTATTTCCTTCCAGACTTTGTTCAATGTATTTTTAACTGTTAGAATCACAGTCCATATACAAACTCATGTCATGATTTTGTCATTTAACATTATGTCATATCATAAGCACTTTTTAGTGGTGCTACAGTTTTCCTAAGTTATTTTTAACCTTTCTTTATGAAAATTTTCAAGCACAAAAGTAGAGAAAATAGTATAACATACCCATCACTCAACCTCAGCAATTATTAACATTTTATAGCAATAATTTTTAATAACACCAATGTTATTATAATTAGCACTGCAGTGAATATCTTTATGCACATTATTAGTATTTTAGCTTATGAATTAAGGCTAAAATTCAAAGGCAGAATTATTGAGTAGAAGATGAACACTATATTTAACAACCTGTTTCTTTAAGTCTGTGTTTTTTGTTTGGTTTTTTCAATTAAAGGGTTATAGAAATGCCTTATGCATATCAGTGCTGTGCATTTGGGGTGTGTGAGAATGTTTATAAAACTCCTAATCAGAGGGATAAAGGTGACAACAGCAGTACAGATGACCTGCATAAGAAAGATGCTGGAATGTTTCAAGTTCAAGGTAAGACCTTCCATGCCAGGGTGATGAAATTGCATCTGGAAGGGTCTTGAAAAGTCATCAAACAGATCATCTGAGCTCCAGACACATCTGGAGTAACCACCCCAGCAAGCTGGGGACCAATCCCACTTTTTAAAGACTCCCAGAGAATGAGAAAGCTCATTCAGGATTCCTTCTAAAACTTCCTCTTTTTTGTAAGTGAATTCCTAGTCCTTTTATTTATAATTAGATCCCCCTTAGCCTATATTGTCCTCAGGGGTAATTATTAATATTGATACCAGTATTTCTGTAAACTTTTAAAAACACCCATCCCTGTGGATACCTTTCCCAAGCTTGCTTCTGAGCTTTTTCCTCCAGAAGGTAAAATCTCATTTTATTCTATGGCCCAGGGGGAACAGAGGATATAGGCATTTTACATGCCTCCGGATTTCAGCAGAAGGCCTTAAGATTCCAACTTCTTATCCATCTAATTCTAAAACATTCCCCCCTCCTACCCCCTCACATGGGTATCTGTCGGGAAGGTGAAATGAGATAATGTCTGTAAAGCGCTTGGCTTTCCTTGAAGTAAGACCTGACCTAAATAGACAGCAATGCACCACACCTGTGGTAACGAGGAGGCCGCCCCACTCTCCCTTCCTGCCAGCTTTGCAAGTTCACACAGAGCCTAAACAGACCAGCTTTTCTTCCTTTGGACCTTAATGATTTGTTAATGCACAAGCAAGTACGATTCAGTCAGTCCGCACATTGCCTTAACATTTCTTCCTACACACGTACCAATTTAAGAAGCTGATATTTTGGACCTTGGCTTTTTCATTTTAGACGTCAATATGTGCCTTGTTCTGGTTCTTGCTTTAGTTTTTGCTGTTCCTGCCTCATCCACCCTAATGTCTAATATATTTATTAACTAAAGAAAAAAAATTAGAGTGCCTCATATGTTCCAGGCACTGTTCTAGGCCCTAGAGGTACACAATGAACAAGAGAGACAGGTTCTTCATGAAGCTGATTTTCAAGGGCAGTGGTTTTCAACCCTGGGCCTCATATTGGAATCACACAGAAGGTCTTTAAAAATGCTGATGATGAACCAAAAAGCAGTAGACCCAGAAACACTGAAAAGTGGCAGGTAATGGAGGGGTTGGGGTGGGTGGCTAGGGAGCCTGAGGGGGATAAAGGGGCACAAAAATCTCAGTCACAATATAAGCTGGTCATGGGGACAGTAGCACAGCATGGAGAACATAGCCAAGGATTCTTTAACATCTTCCTGTGTTGACAGGTAATAACTGCACTACTGGGGGTGAGGATTTAATAATGTGTGTAACTGTTAAACCACTGTGCTGTATATTTAAACCCAATATAATACTGTGTATCAACTATACTTCAATAAAAAAACTGAAAAAAAAATTGCTGATGCCCAAGCCCCACACCAGACCAATTAAATCAGTGTCTTTGGGAAAGTGTGTTAGATCACAAAACTCCTATTTTCATGGATAGCCAAACCAAACACCAAGCAGTTTACTTGATTTGTCCTCTGTTAAGCAAAATTCCCCAGAAAAGACAGAAACTTACTGTACCTAATTCTCCCTTTTGTGCCCAGAGAGCACAGCCCAAAACATTTTCACTATGGCTTTCTGAGCATTAGAAAATTGGTTAAAGTGTTTCTTCCACTGAATGGAGAGGCCCACAACCTCTCTCTAATTTAGCTCAGTGCAATTTGGAGCCATGATGAGCTGCAGGGAACAAGGACAGAGTGAGAGAATTTAGATGTCATGACCAGGACTCTGGGGCTGCTCTCCCTTCCCCCAGTCCTGCTGAAATACTATGTCACAGAGTAGATGGAGTAGAACATCCAGAGGCAAGTTTATAATAGACTCCAGGAAAGCCAGGGCTCCGGGAAAAGTGGCATGTCTGCCCTTATGTTCCCTTGGACACTTCATGTCTCGACGACAATCCAGGACTGGCTTTGTCCCCTGAAAAGAGACAGAACTAATCAGTCCAAGACTTCTCATTCCTGCAGATGAGCGTGATCTTGAAGATTTCCTGCTTGACTTTGAGGAAGACCTGAAAGCCCTTCATTCGGTGCAGTGCTCACCTTCACCAGGTGAGAAAGGCATCAGAACTGCCTCAGCAGTGCCCACCGTTAGCTCTGAGGCCAACAGTGGCATTTTTGCTACACGTCAGGACAAAATCTGTGCCATCTTTGTGGCTCATCAGTGTCCTTTCCCAAGGGGACCTTTGAGATATGAGATATAAATGTTTGTTCCCTGGAGTTGGTCTCTATTCACAAATAGGGTTTTTGTGGGAATCTTTTGATTCAGACTGCTGGAAATTAAGGAATCAAGCCTGTAGTTAGAGGCATATGTAATTTTTAAAATGATGTTAGCAATTTTGCCTGAACAGTCAAGCTTCAGGTAGTCACTGCTTGAAAGTGATTTCTTTTGCCTTGCCTAAATAGCTATTTGGTTGAAGCAAACAATAGTTTATACAGATAAGTAAAAAGTATCTTCATATATTGACTTCATTTCCTTGTTTATCCCATTCCAAGAATGGGCCAGGGCCAGTTAAAAAAAAAGAAAGACAGCTGGGAAGGGTTGATATTTTATTTTCAATAAACAGTTTGTCCCTTGCTCCCAAACATCAAATGGCAAGCTAAACCTAAGATGTGATTTTCATGAAATGCATGTTCATAGCACCTGCATCCTCTTCCAATTTTATGGAGTATTTCCCTAGAATTCTCCTTTTCTGCTTACAGAAACTTTTCAAAGCATTCTGAAAAAATATAATGAAAAGCCCAGAACATCTGGCTTCTTACCTAGCCCGAGCTCTGCTGTATTTGGGAGACCGTAATCAAGTGATTTAAATTCCCCATATCTATTTTCTGTGTACAGCTTGAACACATAGCACCTGATAGACTCACCCAGTCAGTGCTGGAAAGCTCTGAGACAGTAACCACAGTGGTTTAAGAAACGGGGGGGATCCTTGTTTATCCCATTCCAAGAATGGGCCAGGGCCAGTTAAAAAAAAAGAAAGACAGCTGGGAAGGGTTGATATTTTATTTTCAATAAACAGTTTGTCCCTTGCTCCCAAACATCAAATGGCAAGCTAAACCTAAGATGTGATTTTCATGAAATGCATGTTCATAGCACCTGCATCCTCTTCCAATTTTATGGAGTATTTCCCTAGAATTCTCCTTTTCTGCTTACAGAAACTTTTCAAAGCATTCTGAAAAAATATAATGAAAAGCCCAGAACATCTGGCTTCTTACCTAGCCCGAGCTCTGCTGTATTTGGGAGACCGTAATCAAGTGATTTAAATTCCCCATATCTATTTTCTGTGTACAGCTTGAACACATAGCACCTGATAGACTCACCCAGTCAGTGCTGGAAAGCTCTGAGACAGTAACCACAGTGGTTTAAGAAACGGGGGGGGCACCACAGGGGAACCGTGTTCCTGTGGGCATTACTGGCCTCTATCTCTTGACGTCCTAACAGAAATCAACAAGTTATTTGGCAAAACTGTTAAACCCTCATTTACTACCCAGTGTTTTTTTCTTGGACTTCCAGGCCCCTTCAAACTCTGCGAATACCTGTTTGGTAGCTGGCTGATCCGGATTGGAGTGTGGACCGTCGCTGTCCTGGCACTCACCTGCAATGCATTGGTGACCTCAACGGTGTTCAGAGCTCCTCTGTACATTTCCTCCATAAAACTGTTGATTGGGCTGATAGCCGCAGTGAACATGCTCATGGGGGTCTGCAGCGCCGTGCTGGCTGGCGTGGACGCCTTCACATTCGGCAGCTTTGCCCGGCACGGTGCGTGGTGGGAGCAGGGGGCTGGTTGCCAAGCCGTTGGTTTTTTGTCCATTTTTGCTTCAGAATCATCTGTGTTCCTGCTTACTCTGGCAGCCCTGGAGCGTGGGTTCTCTGTGAAGTGCTCTGCAAAATTGGAAACGAAAAATGGTTTTTCCAGTCTGAAAGCAGTCGTTTTGCTCTGCACGCTGCTGGCTCTGACCGTCGCCGCGGTGCCCCTGCTGGGCGGCCGTGAGTTCAGCGCCTCCCCGCTCTGCCTGCCGCTGCCCTTTGGCGAGCCCAGCACCACGGGCTACATGGTTGCTCTTGTCCTGCTCAATTCCCTTTGCTTCCTCGTGATGACCATTGCCTACACCAAGCTCTACTGCAATTTGGAAAAGGGAGACCTGGAGAACATCTGGGACTGTTCTATGGTAAAGCACATCGCTCTGTTGCTCTTCACCAACTGTATCCTCTACTGCCCTGTGGCTTTCTTGTCCTTCTCCTCTTTACTAAATCTCACATTTATCAGTCCTGAAGTAATTAAGTTTATTCTTCTGGTGATTGTCCCCCTTCCTGCCTGTCTCAATCCCCTTCTCTACATCCTATTCAATCCCCATTTTAAGGAGGATTTGGGCAGCCTGGGAAAGCAAACCCACTTCTGGACAAGATCAAAACCCCCAAGCCTGCTGTCTATTAACTCTGATGATGTCGAGAAACAGTCCTGTGACTCAACCCAAGCCTTAGTAACCTTCACCAGTGCCAGCATAGCCTACGACCTGCCTTCCAATCCAGTGTCACCACCCGCTTATCCAGTGACCGAAAACTGCCATCTTTCCTCTGTGGCATTTGTCCCATGTCTCTAATTAATATGTGAGAGAAAAAGCTTTCAAAAATTGGAAACCCAAAAATGTGAGATTGAGCCCATCAGAGCAGTAACCAAAAAGAGCTGAATTGAAGCTGGATTCCTTAAAAAAAAATAATGAAAAGTTGAAAACCTATTGATACTGTAGAGTGAAAAATAAGTCTAAATGCTGCTTGTATAATTTGTTCAGATAAAAGAGAGATTAGCCACAGTATTTAGGGAAGCCTATATTTTTTAAAAAGCAGGTCGAAATGTTCCAAAAAGATTCTCCATGATTTCAAGTGGATTCTTTTAAGCTCACCACTCTGTGGATTTCAGCTGAGAGGTGGAGGGTGTCTGTTTGCTTATGAAATGGGGTTTAAACCCAAAAACCCCTAAAAGGTGTTGGGAGTTATTAGGAAGATAAGGGTTTTAGGTGGTCTACATGACTTAATAATGGTTGTGACAAATAGATTTTCATTTTAATAACCATGTGGAGATGTTTTAGTCCTACTTTGCCTTTCCTCAGAAAGGATCCTTCCAGGTCCCCAATCCCCCCATGAATGGGTAATGTAAGGCATTATCAATTCACTCTATTCACATCATTGGTAGACATGCTGAATTTTATGTATCAGCATTAGAGGGTTACACTCTCAGTGGAACAAAACTGCTTACAAATATTTTGAAAGGAAAATGAACTTAAATTCTTAAATTGCCACGAAGGCAATCATCTACAGGCGGGGTTTGCTGTGTCTAATTCATTTTTAACTCCTCGGTGTCCAGACTCAAGAGAAGTCTATTGCCAGCAATGGACATACCAGAAAAGATGGTAAGCAACCTGGGATTTTTTTTTTCTGAGTACACGTCTTTCACAGAAGATTTTATCAGTTGATTGGAATTGAGGTGCACCTTAAGGTAATGATCAAAAACAGACACAACATAAATTAAACCCACTGACATGACTTCTCACATTCTAGCAACAATGTCTGAAACCACTCTGGACTCAACAGACTTGGTAATATACTATCCTGTTTATTTAGCTTGGTTTTAGCTGCATTGTCTTCAGATCAACCCAAGTCAGGAACATGATTTCTCTGCTTAACCCATATCTAATACATGTGTTAGGTATTTTAAGAGGCAAAATTATTAAATACTAAAGGTCAAAGAATTAATTTTTAATTTCCATTATACTACATTAGCTTTAATACATCCAAACCAAAAGACTGTTAGATTTATTTTTATATAAGCATGTTTATTTTCATCAGATGTTTTAACTTAGAATCAAAAAAATACATTTATGAGATGTTTTATAAGATGTGTAAATATAGAACTGTATTTATTACTACAGTAAAGATTCAATAACACTAAGGACCATGATAATAAACCATGTACAGTGGCATATTCTTCCATGTATATTGTGTTTCTCTGCCCATTTTCTTTAAATTCATTAACTGTATATAATATATGTGAATGTATAGTACTTGTAAATAGATTCCAAACTTGCTTTTCTATTGAATACAAAAATAAAAGAAATTTGTAATAAAATGTGTGACTATAAAACAAGATATTTTCAAGGTTTTTATTGAGCTCATAGGCAAATAACATGGTCTCCTAAAAGTTTTTGATGTTTGATATCTAGGTACATTTACTATCAGAGTATGTGCACTTCAGTATTTTGTGTATTTTGGACTTACCTTAAGAAATAAATCTCTCACAAAAACAAATCAAAATCTTTACCAACTCCTGGACTGCTTTAAATAAAATTGATAAGCCACTTTGTCATGACAGATGATTTGGTGAAGTTTATTATCCCCAGTGATAGTTTGGATTTTACAGTGCCTTGCCAATGGATTTAAGCCCCAGGCAAGTTCACTATGGGTTCAGTGTGACCAAAGAAATTGACAGCAAAACGTTCTTTGGGGTGAAAGAGTTTATTACCCAACTTGTTCTCCCGATTAGTGTCTCTGCCTCCAGGTCCCTCTGTCTACACAGCTGTCCTCCGGGCCTCTCTACACAGTCGCCCCGCACAGCCGTCCTCTGGGCCCCTGTCCTTGGCACTGCCACCACTCCAGCCTCTGCTCTGCTCTCCTGCAGCCTTACAGCCCTGCAACCGTGTCGTGCCCAGAGCATTGGGCAGAGCTCTTTTTATAGAGTCAACAGCCATGTAGTGCCCACAGGTGTACAGTGAGCTAGTCAACCACAGCCAGGTGAGAATCCTGGCCACAGGAACTCTCATTTTATCCACACATAGCTAGAACCTATTTCTTCTACAATGTAAAAAGAAAAAAAAATACAATTAGAAAGAAATGAATAAATAGCAAATTGATTTTAAAATTATTCAACATGAACATGAGGTTCCTATAAATTCTTCCTCTAAGGAAAACGTATTCATGACCATATCAGGACCAAAACATAAGGACATGTGATTCCCAGAGCACAAAGAAACCCTATTCCCCTCAGTTCCCATCCCCCAAAACATAAGAAATGAAATTATTTTTTTCCAACGCCTTGTGCCAGACTTCCCCCAGCTTCAGCGGTGATTCCTGCTCTTCCGTACAGGTTGTAAAATGAAACCAAGTGCTGGTTGGAGGCCTGCATTATTGCTAAAATCAACCCATATTTACTGAACACCCCAGGGTAGCTGGCACTGAGTTTCCCACCCACCTATCAGATATAATTGCATGATTCAACCTAACCTCATTACCAGGCATCCAAGATGGCCTACTGAGTAGTCCACACTTGATTCATCTTTAGCTGAAACAAGGGCTATAAAACAATCCCACACCTCTTAATCTCACTCCTTTTTGCCCAAGCAGCAGATAGAAAAGGTGCCTCTAGAGCAGTGGATCTCAGTCTTTCTTCTTAACATACTTGTTTTTGGGTGTCCAAAGTTAGGGACAAGTTCCGGCAGCCCATCCCTTTCTCTCCCACTCAAAAAAACACAAAGTTGGTGATACAGTGTTTTTTAAAAGAGGGAGAAAAAAATCCACTCTCATTAATTTTTTTAAAAATCAACAAGCTCTATTACTTTATTAGCAAAACCTAGTTCTATTATACCTCACACCAAACACTGCTCTATTAAAGTGTCTGATAAATGCTCTCCACTATAATACAGTAAACCAAAAGGACTGGAATTACATCCACAAATAAATAAATCTACAGTGAGAAGGACAAAAGATAAATACTTGACAGACTGAACAACAGTAAAACAAACAAATCAAAAGAACATAAATGAGTGGACTGACCTAGATTAAGAGGCTAACAATTTTATTTTCAAAAATAGATTCATTCACTCAACAAACATTGGGTGCTATTTGCAGTGTTCTATGCATGGAGCTAACAAAACAAAGACTGGAATATGAATTCCTGTGAAGGAGATATAAACAATAAGCAAACATAAACAAGAAAATATCTGATAGAAACAATGGAAGAAATGAAGCTGAGTAGCATGACAGGGGTAAATGGCATATTACTTTAGATGCAGAGCTCAAGAAAGGGCTTTCTGGAAAGGGCCCTTTTAAACTAACATCTTTTTCAAAAAGGGGTTACCTTTGCTTTAGCATTCAACCAGTTTCGTCAATAAAAATCATCATTTTTAGTCCTTCTACTCATATGTCACCTATTAAAACTGTTTTGAATGTTTGAATAACATTTTAATATAAAAATATATTAGGTGGCTATTATTGCACATAATTTTTTCTCAATGGTTACTGGAGAAAATCTTTCTTAAGTAAAATAGAAAACATCTTGATCATTTCGTTTTGGCCAAAAATAGAGAACAAGGTAGTTAAAGATAATAAAATTAGCAACAGCCCGTTCATTTAGAACCAGAAACACTCCTTCACCTGTTTCGCCTATCTCCACATCCTTCTTCCCTCTGGCAACCACCAGTTTGTTCTCTGTATTTATGAGTCTGTTTCTGGGTTTTCGTGTTTTCATTTGTTTTGTTTTTTAGATGTAGAGTCATATGGTATTTGTCTTCTCTGGCTGACTTATTTCACTGAGCATAATACCCTCTAGGTCTATCCCTATTGTTGGAAATGGCAAAATTTCATTCATTTTTATGGCTGAGTAATATTGCATTGCATATATATGCTGCTTTTCTTTATCCATTCATCTATCGATGGACACTTAGGTTGCTCCCGAATCTTAGCTATGGTAAATAATGCTGCAATAAACATAGGGGTGCATATACCTTTTCAAATTAGTATTTTCATTTTTCTCAGTAAATACCCAGAAGCGGAATTACTGGATTGTATGAGAATTCCATTTTTAATTTCTTGAGCAACCTCTTTACTGTTTTCCATAGTGACTGCACCAGTTTACATTCCCACCAACAGTGCATGAGGGTCCCCTTTTCTCCATATCCTTGCTAACACTTGTCTTTTTGATACTAGTCACTCTGATGTGATTAAAGACCTAAACGTAAGACCTTAGCATGGTGTGGGAGAACTGGAAGCCTTCGATCCTGCTCTAGGAATGGAGCATTCTTGTTACCCCTTAAATTCATAGATCTTTCACTACTTGTGACCCACGTTTTCTGCCTTTGCTTCAGTCACTTCAACTGCTACTAATTGACGACCTCTATTCTGTAGCTTTTCTCTCTTTAACTATTTATAACTTGGAACTATTCATGAGTTCAGCCCACTGTCCCCCAAAGCCCCATCATGCCCCAAGGTTTCACTTTGAAGTCCTCACTTACTACCATTGCCTTGCCTCATTCTGTATCTTCTACTCCTACTCTAGAAGGGAAAGGATTTGACTGATCACTATTGTCCCTGTGGGGCAGGGCTCTGGGGGCTAGATCATTTTAGAAGCCACTCAGATGGATAGGCTACCTCTGAGTCACATGGCCCCTTCTGATCCAATTAATATGGTGGTGATAGGGGAAAGTCAAGGCCACTTGGTCAAAACCCTGACCATCTCTGCTTAAGGAACCAACCTGGGGCACCCCCCTCTGCAGGCAACCATGGATAAGAATGTTTTAGAAGAGTCTGAGGGCTCTTGATTGGCTTGCTCTATACATGTGACCAATTTTGATTTTCCTTACTAAAGAAGACAGACTGGAGATATTTGTCTAGCCCATGCATGCCCCATATTTGCAATTGCTTCCCAGCCACACCCCCTATCAAATTCTCCTTGATTCAAGCCAGATCAACCAGATACTCTTTTCAAAGACAATCTAAGACAGTCTAACTAAGTCAGGTGATGATGGGATGGGTGCTTAAACTGAAAGATCTAACACAATTTTGGCTAGCATGAACACCAGTAGAAGCCAAAATTATGTGCAAGCTTAGTTTGGGGAAGCAGAAAAAGCCACCCTAAAGAGAAAAACAAAAGACTGGTGTAGCTAGCAGAAAAGAAAAGAAGAGGTAACCAGCAGTTCCATGAAAGATGGACTTGCTAGAACATTCCATTCCCTGGATGGCTTAGTTGTGCTTTTTCTCCTGTTCTTAGATGTCCATGAAGTTGCTTGCTGTAGCCTCTCAATGAACCTCCTTTTTCACTTGAGCTCATTTGAAGGGCTTTTTGTTGTTACTGTCCCTCACAAATAAGCCCTCCCCAACTAAAATGCCTACCTCTGCTGTCCAAAACATTTCTAAATACAGTTGTTGTGTCTTTCCTAAGTGCCTGGATAAGCTCTTTTTTCCCTACTGTCCCCCAAACCCCAGTTCCACTGGCTTGGGCAAAATACAACAATGAATCACCAGCCCCTCCACAGATCAATTTTTCCACTATTTACTATTACTTATTGGTTTCTATTAGTTATACAACCTCCCAAATGAAGTCTGTATTTACATAAAATTCATAGAGTTCAAAGAGATGGATTTCTTTTACCTAAAATTCTAATCTGTTTTTTTTTAACAGCTATTTTTGTTCTCAGAAGGGAAATTTGGATAAAGAGAGCAGTGGTGCTCTAGCTCAGGCAGTTCCACGCCTGAGTGCCAGCGCCTCCATTTACCCACAGAGTTGGCATATTACTAATTCTAGCGGGCCTATCTTTAATAGACCACGGGCATATTACCTGACTCTCAAAATAGCCATTTCCTCGTCAAATGGGGATAATAATAGTAGGCACCTCATCATAGCTTACCTTGAAGAACTGATCATGTACAAAGTGTTTAGTACTCCATAAGTGTTCAATAAATGTTTAGCTACTGTTTGGAGTTTGGAAAGACCCAATTAATAGAACCTCTTCTTCCTGCCTTTGTTCTAAACTTGCTGAAAATCAGGACAAACAGTAAAGCAGCTGGGAGTCAAACATCACCTTTACTGCTGGTAAAGCTGATAAAAGACATCAGGCTTTTCATCTGTAGGCAAGAGGTTTCCTACTACTTAATCTGAGAATTACCCAGACTTTTCCACTGAGTCAAGAAAACAATGGACCACCACAAACCTCCCCATAAAGGGGTGTGTTTCTGTGAAATAACAGCACAGAACAACAAAACCAAACATAACCTTCTTGAGGGCACCAACAGAGGGAAGAAAAGACTGAATTCTTCTTGTAGATTCTAATAAGAAATGTCACTTATCTTGCCTACAGGGAAAATCAGAGTGGCTGGAATGTTGCCAGGAGTGTTACTCTAATCGAGCTCCCTCCACATGGAAGGAAACATCAGGAGAGGGAATATGAGGTCTCCCCCAGCCTTCACTGTGTTTTCTTCTTTTAACTCGATCCTTTAGGCTTAACCAGGAGGGCTGCTAGCAGCCAGGAAGTGTGGCTTCCCCC